GGGCTGGATCTGTAGCTGATGTACCGCCCGACTCCTCCATTTCACCGAGCTTGCGAGGAATCGCAGCACCAGGAGATGCCGGCTGGTTGAGCTTTGGTTTCTTTCTCTCAGGCGCGCTGCTGCACGGCTGTAGGGGTGGGAAGGGGACAAGGGCATTATGCCCGCTGCAGAGGCTCGTTCGGGGAGCTGGAAGTCTGGGTGGGAACGTCCTGGCGCGTTTGCGCTCCACAGACCAAGCTCTGCATTCGTCATACCTAAATACACTGGTCTCTAATGCTCTCTATCATGCTAAAGATGCTTCTCAGCTTGCGGCCCCAGGTGTGCTGATGCTAGAGAGGCAGCGGGAGCAGGCCTGAATGCAGTATTGAAAGGCGGTGGGCTCTGCAGAGGGGCATTTAGTTGGTTGTTGCGCTGATGAGGCACGAACTGTAACCGGACCTTCATGGATGACACTTTGAGGGCCTTATTCCCCATATTCACCAGGGCACGGGCTGAAAGGGAGCCAGATCTGCCTCGGTGAGGGGCAGGCAGCATGGGGAAGGTGCTGGGGCACGGCTGAGGTTCTGGCGTGGGTGCCAGTGCGTTCAGGGAACATGTTAAAAGTGCTTCGGTGTTGGCTTTTGGGACCTCATGGAAACAGAAGGGAAGGCAGAGTCACTGCCCCGGCAGCTCCTGATCCAAATAGACTGAGAGATGACAAACTAGAAGGGGAAATGTGTTTTATGGCCAAGAGAGTGCAAGACTGTGAGACCCTATTTATGTTTAAAATCCGAGAGAGGCAAACCTACAAGACCCTCTTGATACCGGATCAGAGTACGTGCAGGCCTTCAGAACAACCACAACCACGTTTCTCCCTTACAAGGTTCATCATCCTAATATAGAAAGCTCCCGGAGATAACGTGGAGCTGGGCATACAGTACAGCCTATGCTCCAGGCACAGGCAGTAAGTGTTGAGGCAAGAAATGACTTTTTCCTGGCATGACCCACTACAGATTGAACTGGAATGGCAATTACAAGCTGAAGTGCTCATTTAATGTCAGTGATGTGTAAACTACGTTGCCATTGTTATTTTAGTGCTGATTTACATAATTGGCATACCCTGAAGTCACACTGCACGCACTTTCAGTTCATGCTAAAGACTTGCAGGAAGTCATAAAATTAAACATTATCTGCGCTGGAACGCAACGGAAAAGTAACTAAACTTTTGAAGGATTTCACCTCGCTCTGTGTCACCTCGCCTGCCGGCAGGTATGCGTGGCGGCGAGCGAAAATCAGGTTAAGAAGCGTTGGGAGCTGTTGGTATGAAGGCGCTTTACCAGCTCTTTAATTAGGCTGGTGTAGTGCTACGGTGGTTCGTTGCGCCGGTGTGTAACTCCCCGTGTGAGCACCTCATCCCGCAGCGACGTTTTGCCGGTGTAGCTGAAGTCCCTCTGACCTGATAGGAGAGCCAAGAGAAGAAGATCCACAGGAGGAATTATTCCAGCCCAAATGTGCTGAATTCCTGCCTCGGATCGGTGGTTTTCCTATGTTGACAAGTCATAAAATGGAGGGAAAAGGCCGCTCCCAAAGGAGGAGCTGGTAATGGAGCTGTCTGGGTTGTTATTGCTTTAAATCCTCCTCCGCAGTAATTCAAGGTGTCAAAGGCTGTCTGTGTCTTTTGCAAATGAAGCCCCTGAGAGGTACCGGGCAGAGGAGGTGCAGCACAGGGCACTCACCTTGCCGGGAAAGCCCGCGCGAGCAGCGGGACCCCGGCTAACGACGGTGCGCCGATGGCTTCGGCTTTGACGAGGACCCTAAATGGCTCAGTCTCGCTCGGTACCTGCGCAAGAAGGGCCGGGCCTTACCGCGGAGCCCAGGCAGACGAACAAGAGACGGGGCAAAGGGCGCATCCCTACCCGCAAGTTACTCAGTCGTATCGGGATTAAGTGGTTTGCTGGTATCCGCCAAGGGAGCGAGGGACGCCGCTGGGCCCCGGGGCAGGTGCCGGGCGGAGAGGAGGGTTCCGCGGGCTGGCGGAGGGTGGTTTGCCGGCGATCCGCCGCATTTCCACCACTGGAGGGCAGCCACATCTTAAAAAATAATCATTTTAAAAAAAAAAAAAAAAAATAAAACCACCAAAGCCTCCGCCGCCCGCGG